TTTCCATGTCTGGCAACGGATTGCAACCCTCAGTGTCGCCCCCGTACCGGACCGGGACCGGCAACGGGATTGCAACCCTCGGTGTTGCCCCCGTGCCTCGCTCAGCCAGTGAGCGGGAACCGGTCTGTATGTGGGATCCGAACCCTCGGCGGGAGCGCAGCCAAGCGGCGCACTAGCGCAGTGCGCCACCGGGCCGGCCCGACCCATGAGCTTTTATTGGGAGTATGTCTGTTGATTTTTGCTATGTTAGACATGACACTGAGAACAATCTTTACTACAAGCCGGCATGTGTCACCAACAGTGACTCAAGGGACAGGCAGGCCTATTCTGTGTTCCTGAGCAGGGGGACAGGGGGGAATCCAGTCTAAGATAGGGCACAGTCCAGTGGGAAAGACAATTTCACGTTTCCAAATGGTTTAATGTGAGAAACACATGATCAGGATCGCAGTACCATCGGGTCTCTGAGAGGCTGTATCGTATCACCATGACCCCTTTGCAAGCCCCCTGGAGGGATCCACCCCACACTGTGGTCATCACTCGTAACTACTGTATCTGGGAGGGGCCCAGGTGCTGGAGGCCCGCTATTGGCTCAGTGCACCTCTGTGATCTGCACTGATAAAGACTGCGTGGGAGAGCTCTCTAAGTCCTGAGTTTAATATTCAGAAGATCCAGTAGGAAATGCTGATGTGAGTGACACTATACTGCGGAGGGATGGCATGCCGCAGCCAGAGTTCCAGGCCTCCCAGGAGGAGAGAGAGAACCAGAGACACTTCACATGCAGAGTGGGTGGTGAAAGGGGCAGAGTCTGCCCACCAACCTGCTATTCCCTGCCACTCTTCCTGAGGGAGTTGGGCTCTCCGCAGGTTCACAAGCCAACACTCCCGACTGTGGGCAGCACCCACCCTGGGAGAGATGAGGTGGGGCAGGACACATCCCTGCACTTGATATCTTTTGTGGGTCAAGTACAGTGGACCTGTCACTTGCTGGGCCACCCTTGGCCTTGTCACCCCCTTCTCCAGGTTGCAGAGCTCCTGAGGGTCTGGGCAGTGACCCCCACAGCCCTCACTAGACTGCCCCTATCTGCAGGAATCCAGCCCCACTAGAAAGGAGGGATGATGGGCAGGCCCGCTCTGGGCTGCTTGTTTGATTTCCCTGAGCAGGCTGCAGAGATGGAGAACAGAAACGCCTCTTTACCAAACACTTAAATGCTGAGTAAAGATCAGTAGAACCCCAAAGAAAAGAAGGAGTTAATATGCTCTATCTATTAATTCTAAAAGTTAGAACTACTTTATTTACAATAGTGAAAAAAAAACCTGTTGTTTTCTAAACAAAGAAATAAACGAAATTTCACTTGTACTTCAAGAAATCAAGTTCCACTGATGGAATTTAACCTCTTCTTGGACTGGCACCTCTGAGGCCCCACAAGTCAGCAGCAACCAGAAGTACTCCCAGTTAGAGGGAGCCCTGGAGCCCTGGATCCATGGGGCCCAAAGGTGAGGGTTCATCTCACCACCTGCTGTGCTGGGTGGCATCTGTCTCCTCCAGTTCTCTCTATCCTGCAGGGGTGGAGGTAGGGAGGCGCTTGAAGCCCTGACTGCTCCCTTGCCCCTATGCTCAGCATCAGAAGAGGCCCTGGCTCAGGGGCTGCAGCCTGGTCCCAGTGTGCCGGCTCAGCTCTTCTAGCACCTGTTTCTCCTTCTGGAACATCTGAAAGAAAGGAGCAGAAGGCCTGGAGACTCCATCCAGGGTGCTGCCTCCTCAGGAAGCCCCTCCCTGCAGCATGTGTCCCAGTGGTGACTTGGGGGAGCCTCAGGCCCCTGTGGCCCCCCACCCATATGCACCCCCTGTACGGGTGGGACCTTGCTCTGCGCCAGCACCTGTGCCCAGGGAGGAGGGAATGGCGGGGCCAGCACACCGGGTGAGGGGAGGAGCTGGGGGCGGAGGTGTTGGTCTCAGTAGGAAGGAGAAGGGCCTACCTGGGGTGGCAGAATGGGCTGGGGAGGGTGGGACACCGGTCAGGTCAGGTAGGCCTGGCCAAGGAAGCACAGGGAGGGGGTGCACAAGGAGTGTCCCTGCTGGGGGAATGGACAGTGCCTCCTGAGAAGGGCCTGGGGCTCAAACCCTGTGAATTAAATTGAGCTGCGGGTCTGTGGGAGCAGGGAGGTGGGGTGGGGGCTGAGGAGAAGATTGAGGAGAGGACTGAGGGGTCGGCAGTAGGGTGGATGTCCAGGTCCAGAGGAGAGTCCACGTCAGGGCATGGCCCATGTGGACCCAGCAGGATGGGGCATGAGTGGGGGATGGGGGGGCGGCCAACCGTATTAAGGACTTTTTTAAAATTAAAGAAACGGACTGTATGTATGTATGTAATTTGAGTCTATTAAACACAATATGGAGCATATACCAACACAGACATTTATAAATGGAGTAAATATTGGCACTTTTAGCGAAAACAACCACTAATTCACTTTTAGGATAGGTCTCTATCCGGATGCCTGTACTACTAAATCCTGTTTCTTTTTTTTTTTTTTTTTTCCCCTTTT